TCTGGTCCTAATAAGCTTCACTATGGGCTCACAGCCACAATTTAACATACACACAATAAAACATCTTGTGGTGCGTACAAGAGTACAGCAGGTAGGCATTTGCTTTGCATGAGGCTGACAGGGGTTGATCCTTGAGCATTGCCAACAGCAACTTATGAGAAACACCAGGAATAACTGTTGATCATCCCCAGGCCCCAAAATAAAAGATAGCACAGTGGTAGGGTGTTTGCCTTGCATGCAGCCAATATGGCCAACCCGAGTTCAATTCCTCCGCCCCTCTCGGATAGCCCGACAAGCTACTGAGAGTATCTCGCCTGCACGGCAGATGGCAAGATCCCCATGACGTATTCGATATACCAAACACAGTAACAACAAAGTCTCCAATGGAGACGTTACTGGGCCCGCTCGAGCAAATTGATGATCAACGGGAGGGCCTTTACCTTACCTTATTCAAAAAAACATGGCAATGATCCAAAGGCAAAGATAAGCAGATAAGCATGGTGTCATATTGACAGAGAGGAGTCCAGAAAGGGTACCCAGCCCTGTAGGTGTACAGTCAGGCTGGTTATTCAGCTGGGGGGGACAAGGGTCTTGAAACTCATGGACTATTCGACATACCTGACAGACGAGGAAGAATGACAACAAAGTCAAGAAAGCAAAGCACAGGATCTCTCCATAACGAACAGCTCCGGGGAGTGAAGGGCAGCGTGAGTGCAGTACAGACGCCTGATCCAGTGGCCCGAGGACACAGTAGCATGTTTCACACACACTCAGGGCACGCACACACTGCCCAGGGACCCAGCCAGGAAGGGTCCTCAGACACTCACCTGCACACACCTCACCTCCCTGGCTTTAGGGCTCCTCTTCCAGCCTAGAGATTAACGCAGGCTTCACCCCAGAAGGCCCTGCTCCACAGAGACAGAGGACTGGATTAGTCACAAGGAAGGAAAAGGCGACAAGTAAACCTCGTGTGTCCCTGGTCTAACTGGTCATACTATTGAAAAGGCATGATCATAACGTCCACTTTCAATATGCCAAAGATTGGTGGGGAGTGAGTAATAAGACAAGGTTTAAACTTAAGAGTGAAATAAGGGAGTCCCAGATAATACCACTAAGCTACCAGCACTGTATGAAGTTTTGTTTTGGGTTACAGTTGGCGATGCTCAAGGGTTAATCCTGTATCCGCGCTCAGGAATCATCTCTGGTAGTATTGGCTCCATGGAAGGTCAGTGATTGAACCTGGTTTGCTTTACGTAAGGAAGCGCCCTCCCCACAGTGCTTTTGGAACATCTGTAATTCCCTGAATTTCTCTTTTACCTTTACTTTGAGCTTACAATTCCCCAAGTGAGGTTTGATGACTTAGGTGAATCTGAACTTTGTATTTGAAGTGAATACTTCCTATTTTATATTCCCATTAGCCCTTTTATACTGTACTATAGAGCAATGTTCTTTGCTTAACCACAGATAGACTATTAATGATAGGCTCCTAATATTTGGCCCATATCCTGAAATACATCTACTCCTGGCACCTGTCATATTTACTTGATTCAAGCTTCAGTTGCCATACTTCCTAACACTCCAAAAAGGAAGGCCCCCATAGGGCTGAGATGGATCTGGGGAAAATAGCAAAACTACCCTGGAATCGAAATGGAATAGTCTAGAAAGCATGAAAAAACAGTCTTGATATTAGCTGTTATGACTTAAGAGACAGGACCTCATGAAAGACAAGCTGTACCGGCCTGAAGACCTAGTATGGGATTTATGGTAGAAGCCCAGCAACCTTGCCCTCAGAGTCCAGAGAACTAAATTTTGGAATCTATATTTCTTACTATTTTTATCCATATATCTGCAATTATTAATAAGAAGTAAATTTAATTGTTTAATATTTTCTAGTAGATGAAGAGGAAAGCAATATAATGCTGTTGACCCTGGGAGAATCTCTCTGTATAGCCACTGGGAGACAGTGTCTCCTTGAATTCTCCAGAATTGTCTCCATCAAAACCCTTTACCTCTGTAGGGGCTGGAGCCATAGCACAGCAGGAAGGGCATTTGCCTTGCACGCAGATGATGAGGGTTCTTTTCCCAGCATCCCATATGGTCCCTCGATCACATCCAGGAGTAAATTCCTTAGTGCAGAGCAAGGAGTTACCCCTGTTAATGGCCAGGCGTGACCCAAAAAGCGAAAACAAACAAAAATGCTTTACCTCTGTAAACGATCAGTCACCCCTATGTGTAGTCCTATAGCTCAACAACCTTCAATGCTCTGTAGTTATGCTAAAAGCTTCACATTAAACAAGCCATTCTGACCATCAGTCAGTGGTTCTCCATATCTTTGTTCCTCTTCTGACTCCAGCATAATGTCCCTTTAGAGATTCCCCTGAGAGGCAATCAGGTATGTTCATCCCTCTGGGGTGAAACTCGCTGCCATGTTGACAGAGGTAACCACATTTCGAACCAGCACACACTAGGATAGGAGGAGGCTATCCCAATCCGCACAATGGGCCTGAGGATGAGACACTGCAGCACCCTAGGGGTTCTCAGGGATCTCCCTTCTCCCCACTCCAGAAGGGAGGAACCGGCCTCCACCAACACTTTCGGGTGATGGGCCCCAGTAGTCACTGGATGGAATCCTGATCTACCACAATGGGACTATATTAGAAGCTGATGGACTTGCATGCAGCCACCCCAGAGACAAACCCAATGAACAATGCTCCTGTGAGTAACACCTAAGCACTGACCCAGCAGGACCAAAAGAAAGCAACACTGGGTTGGACCAAAACTCTAGACACTCCTCCCCCACGCCATATCATCACATCAACTGTTCTAGGGATGAGAAGGGGACACTCAATGTCCAGTGAGCAACTCAAAGGTGTTGTGGACTGGAGGACTCCTGGGTTGGCCACATGCAAGCAAGTACCCTGCTTGCTGTACTATAGCTCTGGCCAGTTCTAAATAAATTTTTTCCCAGCACACCAGCAGTGACCCCTGAGCAAAACTCCCCTTCCCCATACTCAAATATCTCCCTTTCAGGAAAAGATAAAACAACAACTATACTGATGTAGCCACCCCCAAGAGCCAGTTTTCCTGATGTTCTGGTCAGGGAGAGATGAAGAGAAAGGGATTATTTGCAATTGGACATGTGGAAGTAGAAAAAATTATTTTAGGAGTATTGTTTATTCGGCTATTGATTAAGCTGACTGAAATGGGCATGAACTCCACCGTACTTTTCCCCCTTTTTTTGATAATTTTATTTTTTGAATCACCCTGAGTGAAGACACAAAACTTTTGGGTTTAAGTCTCGTTCAAACAATGAAGCACCAATCCCTTTACTGTGCCAATTTTCCGCCACCAAAACCCCAAGTATACCCCCATTCTACACCCTCCCCCTAACTGTGGGGGCAGATGATTTCTAAATTTCTCTCTACTTTGATTACATTCAATATTTTGACACCAGACCCAACATTATTATATTTGGGATTTAACCCCAGCACTCAGATAGTTCAAAAAGGCAACAGTAGACAATTTGTTTTCTACTGCTGGTTATAAACATGATTTTGTAATTTTGAAATTTTAATAATATGGAGGGATTTCTCCCAATACCTGCTGAGTTCCAGATTTTCTCCTGACTCTCTGGGATCATGGCCATTAAGCAGCTTTATCAGGAGCCAGAGAGGCGGTTCGTGGGCATGATCTAAGCTATTGTTGGGTCGTGGAGGAAAGGGCCACCTCCACCCCCATCCCCTCATCCTGTGAAGCTCCACATATCTCATCACTGCAGGCCCAAATGTGACTTTCCAATGGCCTCTGGAGGATGGTGGCCAGCAAGCCACCAAGGGGGAGCAGGTGGAGGGACAGCACCACTTCCCTCTGGGGTGGCCTGGGGTGAGTAACCTACTGCAGGGTCCAGGCTCATTTCTGCCAAGAGCCACTGGGTTTTGAGATTTGTCTCTGAATCTTTGGGATCATAGCCATTAAGCAGCATTGATAGCAGAGTGGGTAGGATGTTTGCCTTGCATGGGAAAAACCCGGGTTCGAATCCTGGCAACAATACGTTCGCCTGAACAATGCCAGGAGTAATTCCTGAGTGCATAAGCCAGGAGTAACCCCATGTGCATCGCTGGTTGTAACTCAAAAAGCAGAAAACAAAATAAATAAATAATACAAACAGTAAATTTTCAGAGGCAAAACCCTCTCACTTGTGCAGACACACCCCAAAGTCCCAACCCCAGCACAGGAGCCAATAAAAATGACCACAAAAGTGTCCCTTTCCTTTTGGGGCTTCCCGTGAACATATCTGGAGGTTTGATAAGTGTTATCTCCAGTCCAAAGGCTCCAAAAAGGGCCCGGTGCAGTCCCGAGTAGGGAGGTATGAGATGGCCAAGACCACCACTCTCTGCAGGTCCCTCACACCAAGGCCCAAAGTTCAGGTGCCATCTTCGACCTGGATGTGATCTTGGCTGCAGGGACCCTCAGCATAACGCACCCTCACCCATGACACCTCCGCCACAGAACAGCCCCCAATGCAACCCTCAAAAGCTCCGCATTCCCTAATACCTAGATATGCAGAACAAGTTTTGAAAAAACAAGTACAAAAACGCCCTACAAGCTGGCGTGTCCTGCCGCTCAAGTTCCCAAACTAGGAGCTGCAGTGTGCTCAAGCTTGTTTCTCCAGCGTGAATGCGCCTGTGTTCAATAAGTCTGAGGCTCCAGCAAAGGCCTTTCCACATTCCTTACATATATATGGTTTCTATCCAATGTGAATTCTCCTATATACATTAATTATTGAGGTCACAGCAAAGGCCTTCCCACATTCCTTACATATAAAGTTTCTCTCCAGTGTGAATTCTCCTATGTACAGTCAATTGCGAGGATGTAGTAAAGGTGTTTCCACACTCCACACATATATAAGGCTTCTCTCAAGTATGAATTCTCATGTGTATAGTAAGGGAAGAGGACAACGTGAATGCCATTCCACATATCTGACACTGATGAGATTTCTCTCCACTGTGAATTCTGCTATGATTCCGAAGGTACTGAGATTGACAGAAGGCCTTCCCACATACTTTGCAGATATATGGTTTCTCTCCAATGTGAATTCTCCTATGTTCACTAAGTCTTGAGGCTTTAGCAAAGGCCTTCCCACATTCCTTACATATATACGGTTTCTCTCCAGTGTGAATTCTCCTATGTACAGTAAGTCTTGAGGCTTCAGAAAAGGCTTTCCCACATTCCTTACATATATACGGTTTCTCTCCAGTGTGAATTCTCCTATGTACAGTAAGTTTTGAGGCTTTAGCAAAGGCCTTCCCACATTCCTTACACATATATGGTTTCTCTCCAGTGTGAATTCTCCTATGTTCACTAAGACTTGAGCCTTCAGAAAAGGCCTTCCCACATTCCTTACATATATATGGTTTCTCTCCAATGTGAATTCTCCTATGTACAGTAAGTCTTGAGGCTGCAGCAAAGGCCTTTCCACATTCCTTACATATATATGGTTTCTCTCCAGTGTGAATTTTCCTATGTACAGTAAGTTCTGAGGATGTAGCAAAGGACTTCCCACATTCCTTACATACGGTTTCTCTCCAGTGTGAATTCTCCTATGTTCACTAAGTCTTGAGGCTTTAGCAAAGGCCTTCCCACATTCCTTACATATATACGGTTTCTCTCCAGTGTGAATTCTCCTATGTACAGTAAGACTTGAGGCTGCAGCAAAGGCCTTCCCACATTCCTTACATATATACGGTTTCTCTCCAGTGTGAATTCTCTGATGTACAGTAAGTTTTGAGGCTCCAGCAAAGGCCTTCCCACACTCCTGACATATAGAAGTCTTCTTTCCACTATGCGTGTTCTTATGTCTATAAAGAGACAAGGTGTGAATAAAGGCCTTCCCACATGTCTGACATTTATGAGGTTTCTCTCCACTATGAATATTCATATGTCTATTAAGATATGAGGGCTGATTAAAGGCCTTCCCACATGTCTGACATATATAAGGCTTCTCTCCACTATGCGTTTTCATATGTCTATTAAGATCTGAGGGCTGAATAAAGGCCTTCCCACATGTCTGACATTTATGAGATTTCTCTGCTGTATGAATTCTCCTATGTCTAAAAAGATTTGATGATTGATTGAAGGCCTTCCCACATGCTTCACATGCATAAGGTTTCACTCCTGAATTTATATTTATATGGTCATGATGGAGTAACCCTTGACTCACACTTTGTTCTCGGTGCTCACTTTTCCGGGGATGCTGTCCACTGTAGTTTTCTAAGGGAATACCACAGTACTGAGAACATGGGGAGGCTCCGCCACATTCCTTACACTTAGATGGGTTCTGTTCACAGTGACTGTAATTGAGAGTTTGTGGCTGTGAGGGACTCACTATAAACAGTGCTTCTTTCCCTAGTGGCTGCCAGACTGGGGAATTTTGTGACTGTGAACTGAGAACACCACACTCCAAGGAACTTTTTCCAAGGGAGGGCTTCTTCAAAGTGAGGTAGCTCTCGCCATTCTGATCACCCTCAGAAGACATCCCACACGTCTTGGCATCCTCATGGGGTTGAATGCAGGATTGCTCATTAGAGATATTGTCATAGAGTGCAGAATCAGAGATATTCCACTTGGGTTGGTTGCTTCCCTGTAGGAAGAGCAGAGAATGATTCCAATTATTAACTTATTCACCGAGTCTTCCTGTCAAAAAACTGAGCCTTCAGATGTGGTTTCTTTTTTGGGGGGTCACACCTGGTGATGCACAGAGGTTACTCCTGGCTCTGCACTAAGGAGTTACTCCTGGCAGTACTCAGGGGACCATATGGGATGCAGGGAATCGAACCCGGGTTGGCCGCGTGCAAGGCAAATGCCCTAACCGCTGTGCTATTGCTCCAGCCCCAGGTGAGGTTTCTAACATATGCACCACACAAATGTAATTACCTACGTAAGGATTGTCTTATTATAGAATAACTTCGTGTAAATGTAAGTTCGACGCACAAAACTGATGGAAGCAGATTCATAAAATTCTGTGACTTCCCCCCACCTTTAACTTAATGAAGATATATAACTGAAAATAATTCCTTCTATAGAAAACTGATGCATCCATTTCAAGAGAAAATGAAATACAACCACAGTGGGTTTGATTAAAGCTCAGAGTGGAACCTGTGATAAAGGGGTGAAGATAACGCTGCATCCTCACACAGCTGAGACAGCCCAAGTGACTATTGCAAAGCTCTCACCACAAGTGATTGCTTTCAGGATCAACAAAGTTTTTTGTTCTTAATGTTTTGTAGTTTCAATTTATTGGGGGTTGGGTGGGCGGAGGGGCACACCATGCAGTATCTAGGATCAGTTCTGTGTGTCTACGGTGTCTATAAGGAGTGCTGGGTAAGGCTCATCCATCCCTGTGCAAAGCAAGTATATTTCTCACTGCACTATCTCCAGGGCCCACAAATTAGCTTTTTAAATGACTATAACTGTCAAGCAAATGAAAACTCACAGCATTTTTATACATGGTTGATTTCAGCACCTAGTAAAGCTAAGGGTCCTCTACCCCAAGCATCAGGCTTTGGAATTCCTCCCTGCCATTCACAGCCCTCCACCCTAACAATCACATATTTGGTCCACTCCCGCTGGCATAATAATTTATTCCGAATTAAAAATCTTACCAACTCACTCATACTTGCGGACCCCATTCCCAAATCAAAGTGCTGTAATGCCAAATCTTGAATCCGTGGTTTCAGCTCTGAAACTGAACACAACATGCAGTTAAAGCAATTGTCAAAATGTAGCAAAATTATGCCATGTAGTTGGAGTACATCTCTGTGGTATTCAAAGTCCATAAAATCCTACACTAAAGAAAAGATTAGGTTAGTGGAAAACGGTAAGGATCTTTGCAATTCTACACTAGGTTTTGTTTTAGTTTTTGAGCAGACCCGGTGATGTTCGGGGAACCAGGTTATTGAACAGGTCACTTTCAGGCATTGCAAGGCACTCCCTGCTGTACTATCGTTCAGATCCAAACTAGCTCTGTTATGGTCTTACTTATTCGAAAGCCATGGAAGCAACTTACATAGTCGTTCTGGACAGACATACGATGGGAATGAAGAGGATTGTGAGTGCGGCACAGACCCATGGATCCAGGAGCCCAAGGCCCCAGCCTCAGCAGCGTGTTTCATACATGCTCAGGACACCCATACACTGCACAGGGCCTGAGCCAGGAAGGGTTCTCAGACACTCACCTAAACACAAGTCTCTCCTCCCTGACCTCAGGGGTCCTCCTTCCAGCCAGGAGATCACCGCAGGTTTCAACCCAGTGTGCCCTGCCACAACAGAGACAGAGGCATGGATAAGTGACAAGGAAAAGGTGACAGGTAAATCCCCGTGTTTCCTGATATAAAGGCATGAACACAATGTCCATTTCCAAAATGCCACATATTTCTAGTTATTCGAGAGGTAAGACCCAAGAAAATACCACAAATACAATAGACCAGGCCTTGTGTATGGCTGAAAGGGTGTTGATCAGCACAGTATGTTGTTGGTTTTTGTCTTGTTTGGGGTCTAACCTGGCAATGCTCAAGGACGACTCCTGACTCTGTATTCTGAAATCAGCACTGCTGGTGCTTGTGGATGACATGGGATGCCGGGGATTTAACCCAGGTGCATTGCTTGCAAGAAAATCACTTTCCTAACCATACTGTCTGTCTAGGCCTAACACCACATGGAGTTTCCTGAGCCCCTAATGAACTCATCAAGAATTTCAGTAAAACTAAGTGCTTAATAAATCTGGAAATGGCCAAAGGTGGCAAGAGACCCTTATTTTTTTAATCTAAAAATGTATCCATAAAGAGAGCACAGCAGGAGTTTCTCACAGCCAATCCAGTTGCAATACCCGACATCCCCTAGGGTCCCTCACGCCAGCCAGGAGTGATCCCTGAGTGCAGAGTCCAGGAGCAAAGCCTGAGTCCTGCTGAAGTCTCACAAGAACCATTAGAAGTATCTCCAAGCACTGAAATACGGCAGTGTCAGATGAGTTGAGAGAAGAGATATCAAAGCTCCAGTGGTGGGAGAGATAGTACAGCACATAGGACAGAAGTGCTGCACACACCTGTGGGTTTGATCACAGGCAGCCCATAAGGTCTTGGAGCAAGGCCAGATGTGGATCCTGAATACACAGGCAGGAATAATCCCTAATCACAATCACAATCACAATCACAACCATCCTGTTATTCGTCGATTGCCTCGAGCAGGCCCCAGTAACGTCTCCTTCGTCCTAGCCCTGAGATTTTTAAAAAAGTCCCATATTCAAGGCTCTTTCAGAGTTAGGAGAATGAGACCCTTCATTATTATTGGTATTTGGCATATTGGGTACTCCACGGGGAGTTTGCCAGACTCTGCCATGTGGGCAGGTTACATTTGGTAGCCTGCCAGTTTGTCCAAAGTAGGAATGAGATAAGATGTCGTAAAGGGTGTGATAATCTCTGGATCCTGGCCGTTACGTTATTATTATTATTATTACATAATAATAATTATTATTACTGTTATTATAATTACTATAATAATTACTATAATAATTATTATTACTATTATGTGAATGTAATAATGAAAAGAATCAGGCCATAATCCTGATTCTTTTTTCCTAATACCTAAGGAAAAAAGAGGAAGTAAAAACCGTCTGATTTGAGTGCCTGGTGCAAAAGTATTGGGAGTCATGCACCAATGTTTTAAATTGCCAAGAGGTTTCAGTCCACGGTATCCCGGTTTCTGAGCACTCTTAGGAGTCATCGTTTAGCACAGAGCCAGGAGAACTGTGGACTGTGCTCCCTAAACAAAGGCAACAGCAAAGCCAATTAAACACACGGAAGTTTGTGTAGTACACAAAGCAAATTGATTCACCAATGGATGGAACTATTTAAAGGGACCTGAGCGATAATTGGGCAGATAGGGATCTTCCCACGGACACAGTCGAAACGGGTTGATCTGAATCACCCCACAGGGTCCTGCTACTCCACAAGACTGATTCCTAAGGACAGAGCTGAGAGTAAGCCCTGAGTATCCACAGGTGAACCCTAAAAAAAAACAGGGAGGGAACAAACACCTCATGGCTGTTCAACATACCAGCCCGTCAGTCACAGCGACTGTTGGACACACAGCTGCGGCCCAAACCCAGGGAGCCCAAGCAGGTCTGTCCAGACAGGGTTGGCTCCACACTGCTCTCACCTACAGCCTGCAGATGCTGGTAGGTCTCCAGCATCACGTCCCTGTAGAGCTTCTGATGAGAGGCCGCCAGGCATGACCATTCCTCCGGGGTGAAGTTCACAGCCACGTCGTGGAAGGTCACTGCGTCCTGAGTCAGCACACAGGGAGGGTGGCAGTTAGAGTCTACCTTAGTCTCATTCCCATTACTGTGAGGCCAGGACCCAGGGTCCTATATTGTCGCTAGTCCTCTCCCCTTCGAATGAACCAGCCTCCATGCAGACGCATGGCTGACGGGCCCCAGAAATCACATAAGGCAGCTGGATCTGTGAAAGTGGGAGGATGTTATACTGAAAGTTCTCGGATATATCTGCCTTTCCTGGTAACCCAAGGTCCAATTCGAGCTCCACTGGTCCAGTGAGCACTGTAGAGAGGATCACCTGACCGCAGACTTGCACGATCCAAAAGACCATCCCTGGGTGCAGCAAAAACGACTGCACGCTCACCGCTGCACCCCCACAGCTCATGACTACTAGGACTAAGAACTACAGTTCATATAGACAATACTCAGAGTGGTGCATGGCATGTGTGCCTGTAAGAACACACTGCTCAAGACCGTCCCAAATACCTTGCAAAGAAGGAGAAGGTTCTTCACCCCAACATCTCTACTGGCCTCCGAGATCCTTGGCTCTTTCTCCTTGGGATCGGCGCATGCCCAGAAATCCACACATAACTTTATGTGAATATAAGACTGTATGACTGAGAAGGCAAGGCTCTCCAGAGCAGGAAGGACAAAACAGGGGAAAA